AGTCGTTGAGGCCACTTGGAGGTTTGTCTGTGTCCTCAGGATCACCTGAGTGGTGCAAATGAGTGTTGAGCCTTCTTGGAACTGCTGAAAGGACTAGGTTGTAGACTGGAGATAGATGATGTCACATCCCTTCCCCTCAGTTGGGGGAGAGCTGGTCAATTTGACATAGATGGCCTCTTTGAACCACTCCTTCAAATATGGTGGCTCGTTTTTCATGCAACTCAGGGTGGCTCCCTATAAAATCATTTTGAAAATTGCAAAACACACTCAGTTAAAACATACAGCATTAAAAACGGGGGAAAAAACAAAAACCTAGTGCCAATCCATGCAAACATACCTTCATCTAATCTCTGGGTGAAACCAGAAGAGGAGGAAGGGGAGGAGGAAGAATGAGATGGAGGAGAAGGAGAGGAAGAAGAAGAAGAGGAAGGAGATGAGGAAGGAGAAGAGGAGGAAGAATGAAATTGAGAAGGAGTTGAAGAAGAAGAGAAGAGGAAGAAGAAGGAGAAAGAAGAAGAGGAGGAGAACCTTTGCTCTCACTTTTTGCTGTGAACACACAAAAATATATTGGCGTACACACACACATACACACATACTCACACACAGTGTCTTAATACAAAAATTGCATTCAAAGAACCACACAATTTTAATTGTACTGACGGCTTCATTTATTGTGGATTGTTACTTCAAATGCTTTTATAAACCAGGCTGCCAAATTAACGCAGGCCCCGATTGCCTTCTCCCTTGTCTCCCTTCTGTTTCCCACGGGCCTAGATTGGTGCTGTCCTCTGTCTCGGATTATTTTGCCGCCATGTTTACTAACGATGTCCGAGAGGCCAGGCAAGAAGAAATCAAAATGGAAGGTGTGGAACCCAATGCGTTATGGGCGCTGGTGCAGTACGCATATACAGGTAAAAGCAGTTACTTTTAAAGCCAAGGAAATGCTAAACTCTCTGGTTCCCCCACTTTGTATACAGCGTGTAAATTGTAGTAATAGCCATAAATACTGATCTAGAGTGAGCAAGGCATAGTGTTTGTGTTTTTTAAAACTAATTTCAGAGGGATAAGAGGATGCTTTTACTCAAACTACTCGTAAGTGTTCTTTCCAAAGAAATGAGAATATTAAAATGCACCAATTATGTTGTTTTATTCATTTCCCTTAAATCATCTCCCAACATTGGGATGTTCAAATCTTATTTTATATTTTTTATAAAGCAGAGCAAGCAGTTCTTAAAAGTTTCAAGACACAATAGAAGAACAGAGTTGAAAGGGACCTTGGAGGTCTTCTAGTCCAACCTTCCCTGCTCAGGCAGGAGACCTTATACCGGTGATGGCAAACCTGTGGCAGGTGGCGCCATTTGTTAGGGCACGTGAGGCATTGGCCTGTCAGCTCCCGCGTGCATGCGCTGGCCAGCTGACTTCAACCTTTATTTTTCGCCCACAGTATTTGTTTCCAGAGAGTAAGTCACCTGTGTACCAAGTTTGGTTGAAATTGCGTTCCCGAGTTATGCTGGAACATACATTGAGTCAAGTTTCACTCAATCTGCCAGAATTTTCCAGAAGCTTCTTGGTCTTTCCTATCTGTCTTACATCTGTGGGATTTCTTGGGGATCTCTATCCAAATCCTTATTTCAGTTCCATCAGCTGTTTGATAGAAGTGTCTCAAGAATCAACTTTATAGTATAGTTAGTATAGTATAGTATAGTATAGTATAGTATAGTATAGTATAGTATAGTATAGTATAGTATAGTATAGTTAGTATAGTATAGTATCTCATGGCCTTCCGAAAAGCTAAAAACCTGGCTATTCCGGCAGGCCTCGGGCTGTTGACCTCATGACTGAGGTCCAGCCCCGATTAGACTGGGTGTATGATATGGTCTTTTAATCTGTGTTTCCTCGTTTTGTAACTTTTTACTTCTAAAATGTATTTGTTGTAAGCTGCCCGGAGTCCTTCGGGATTGGGCGACCTATAAATTTATTAAATCTAATCTAATCTAATTAGAAACTGTAGTTAAGGCCCTCATTCCCACATCCTGGGTTTTCCATAAAAACCTCTGATGGCAGATTTCCAAAATACGGAAATAAGTTCAAAGGGTCTGTGGCTTTGTCTTATTTTTATTCTTGTCTAAATCATAACTACCATGTTTCCCCGAAAATAAGAGAGGGTCTTAATTTTCTTTTGACTCCCCCCCCCCAAAATAAGCTCTTGGCCTTATTTTCAGGGAGGACTTATAATTTTTGAGGCACAGGAGGCGGCGAGCGTGGTCACCTCATGGCTGCTGCTGTATTGCAATATTTTGGGGGAGGGCTTATTTTCAGGGGATGACTTATTTTAGCGCATGCGCTCAAAAGCCCAATTGGGCTTATTATCCCGCGAGGGTCTTATTTTGGGAAAAACATGGTAGCTGTTTGAGTGGATACCGATGGCATGCGGTCGTAACTCTGTTTTGAACCATCCCAGGTCGTCTTGAATTAAAAGAAGATAACATTGAGTGCCTGCTGTCTACAGCTTGTATCCTTCAGCTGTCTCAGGTTGTAGAAGCCTGCTGCAAATTTTTAATGAAGCAGCTTCATCCTTCAAATTGCCTTGGAATCCGTTCTTTCGCCGATGCGCAGGGTTGTACGGATTTGCACAAAGTGGCTCACAATTACACCATGGTATGCAGTTCTTGAAAAACTTTCGTTTTATTTATGGAAAAAGCATTCCATAATATCATTCTCGCCGCCGTCGTGATGCGTTTATTCAGATTTCTATTTTATCTCCAAAGAATGTAGAAGAGAGCACAGAATCCCCCTCCCTCCTTCGTATGTCGTAAAACCTTTATTTCCACTAGTTCTAAATAGTTCAGATAATAATTAGATCCGTTTTTTTTCCCCTTTGACTTACATTGGCCAAGCAACTGTTTTTTACTTCAGCTCATTTCCCCCCAGATACGGGCACCGTATTTTTCAGAGTATAAGACGCTCCGAAATATAAGACTTTTGGGGAGGAAAACAAAGGGAAGAAATCTGCTTCCGGCCTCCCAGCAATTTGCCTCCTTGCAACGAACAGTGAACAGTACAGATAATATACACTGTTTGTAGTTTTACTTTTCAGACTATATTTGTACATATGCTGTTAAAATTGATGTGGCTTTCTGGAACTATACCTTATTCTCTGCTATTTAAAAGAAGAGACAATAGCACTGGGCCTCTTCAGATCAAGCATTTATTTTAAAAAGCTACGTTTTGTCACGCTGTCTAGAACAATAATAAAGCAGTCTTTAAAAATAAGTAATAATTTGTATATTCTATAGGCATTTATAGTTATTGACTTTCCTCCTTGCAGCAAACAGCCTGATTAGTGCAAGATTTTTTTTTTGCTTCACTTTCACTTTCAGTTTAAGCGCATTCCGATCATCAGCTGTTTCAGGCTGCAGGGATTGTTATAGCCTATTGCGGCCTCCGCAAGCCCCATTTTCCCCGTTTGCTGCAAGGAGGCAAATTGCTAGAAGGCAGAGGCCAAAGGGTGGGGCCACATTCGGTGTATAAGATGCACCCAAATTTTCACCCTCTTTTAGGCGGGGGAAAGGTGCATCTTATACTCCAAAAATATGGTAGTCCTTGACTTACAACAGTTCATTAAGTAACCATTCAAAATTACAACGGCACTGAACAATGACTCATGGCTGTTTTTCACACTTACGACCATTGCAGCATTTTTTGTCATCTGATTTATATTTGGATGCTTGACAACTGTCTCACTTTTATGACAGTTGCACTGTCCCGTGTGTGTGTGTGTGTGTGTGTGTGTGTGTGTGTGTGAGAGAGAGAGAGAGAGAGAGAGAGACGTAACCCATTTTGCGACCTTCCGACAAGGAAAGTCAATGGGGAAGCCAGATTCATTTAACAGCCGTGTTACAAATTTATCAACTGCAGTGATTCGCTTAACAAATGTGGCAAGAAAAGCCATAAAATGGGACTAAACTCACTTAACAAATTTCTCTCTTAGCAACATAAACTCTGGGCTGAATTGCAGTCATAAGTCGAGGACAACCTGTACAATCTGTTCTTCTTCATAGCTGTAACAATGGTGACTAAGGTTATGTGTCTTGAGATACTTTGAGCTCTGAGGAAGAGCACTTAAATCTATACAAATTCCAAAAAAATTAAACATGATGACATATTCAATAGTATTTGGGACAAATTAAGAGCTCTATTATAATGATTTAATGATTTTAAGTAAAGGACTACATGTATATTATTAAAAATATATACCTTAAGAATTTTAACACCTGAACTACTCCCCAGTGATTTCTGATATCTTATTTTGCTATTCCTTTGTATCACTGATACTTTAATTTTTCCTTTATTAACTTATTGAGATATTTTATAGCATTTTCCCTAAGGCTAAAGCCATGCAAATTACTCTTTCAAGGCTATTGGCATTGAAAAAAAAAGCACAAAGCCAAAGACACTTTTTTAGCGTTTAACAGTTTGACTTGAATAAAATTTAAATTAAGATGGTTTTTAAAAAGTGATTTTCCAGAGTAATTGGTTGTGCTACATCAATTCTTCCCAGGCCTTTTTTAAAAAATAAAATAAAATAAAATAATGGTTTAATTCCAACAGAGACATGAAATTGAATTTTAGTAATAAGGAGCACCATAGAAGCACTTCCTTTGGCTGGAAATATACGTTGCCATGGAAACGGTACAGAAATGTGGAGGCCAATTGAATCTTCAATTAGAGTAAATCTCTACTAATTTCATTTGCTTTAAAAGCTCCATGGAATCAAAAATGTTAAAGGAGCAGCCATTTTGCCCTTGTTTTTGTAATGTGGGTGACTACACAACGGGAAGTCCTTCACTTATGACCACAACTGAGCTCAAGATTTGTTCCAGTTTTGACGTTGCCATGAGACAGACGCAGGGAACGGGGTCTCCTTGTTCCTCTCGTCCCCTACGCTGACTTCTCTTGTCTGAGGGCTCCAAGAGGAGCCTAAGCCGCTTTGTAGAAGCGGCGAAGCAAAGAGGGACACCCTGAGAGGTCGAGAGTCACAGCTCTCCCTTCAGACCCGGAGATTACTTCCCCTCTCAGCCGTGGCAGGAACGAAGAGGCAGCCTAAAGATGACCGCGACAAAGTGGGGACAGCCCAGTGGTGGGTTGCAGGCGGTATGCCCCGGTATGGATGTACCGGAGCCTGCCCGGAGCACCGGATACCATTCAGGTTCAGTGCTCCGGAGGGCCCACCCCCCCACCCTAGCTCCTTACCTGTCCTTTAAGCCTTTGGCGCTTCCACGAACACGCATGGCGCATACGGCACCTGTGTGACGTTCCGCCGAGCAGCTGGAGTGGCGCGGAGGCTTGCGGAATGGTCACTAAGTGAACTGTTGTAAGTCGAGGACTACCTGAATTTAATGCCACTGCTTATTAAGCACCAGGAATTATGGATTGCACTTCAAACGGAAGTTAATTGCAGAAAAGGTATGGGTGGGGAGCATTTGAATCTATTGAAATTTCAAAATACTTAACATTTATGGTCCAAAATGGAAATGAATGAATACAGGTAGAACCCCGCCTTACAGGATCAATACAATAAAATAATAATGAAAAATAATAAAAATTCCGGTGCTTGGCAACTGGTACATATTTATAACAGTTACAAAGTCCCTGAAGTCATGTGATTCACCTTTTGGGACCTTCTGATAAGCAAACTCAATGGGGAAGTCTTAACAACCGTGTTAATAAACAACTGCAGTGTTTCTCTTGGCAACTTGGCAAGAAAGGTCATCAAATGGGGCAAAATTCACTTAGCAACTGTCTCGCTTAGCAACAGAAATTTTGGGGTCAATTCAGGTTGTAAGTCGAGGACTGTCTTCTTATTGCTGTCGTCAGAACTTCTGGCCGTCTAGATTTCTTCCTTAAGTTGATTTTTTTTTTTAACCAACCCTAAATATTTTATCCGGAAAAGATCGCACCATCCGTGCAGCCATCAAAATATTTATTTACAGGAGAGAATGCATTGCTTTGCATTCTCCTATATAGTTGTATTCTCTTCCGCCAATAAATATTTTGAAGGCTGTACAGTTGCTACAATCTTTTCTGGATGAAATATTTAGGCTTGGCAAAACTTTTTGCAGATCACTTTAAATACAAATGTAAATGTATATAAATATTTTGAAGGCTGTACGGTTTGTATGATCTTTTCTGGATGAATTATTTAGGCTTGGTAAAACTTTTTGCAGATCAATTTTTTCCCCCTGTGAATTCCCCCCCCCCCACTGGGCAACTGAGTGCTGATTGGAATTTCCTGTGTCATACCAGTGAGCGAGAAAGAAGGCTGAAAAATCAAATGGATAAGATACGGATTTATATCTAGGTTTTCCCTTTGTTTCATGTAGACGTAGTTTTATTTATACTTCTTATCATTTTTAGGAGCACTTCATGGAAGTAATTAGAAACCAAGAATTCCTCCTGCTACCGGCCACTGAAATTGCAAAGCTTTTAGCTAGTGATGATATGAACATTCCTAGCGAAGAGACTATCCTTAATGCATTGCTAACTTGGGTGCAACACGATTTGGAACAACGAAAGAAAGATCTCAGCAAACTCTTAGCATACATCAGACTCCCTTTACTGGCACCACAGGTGAGTAAATGACATTCCCTACAGACAATCATCTGTCTTCAGATCTCTCAGTAACTTAAGGTCGTGCTGACGAACAGAAGTGGCACAAAGAACCATCTCAGTGGACACGCGAACTGTTGCCCGTTGCTCTTCCGGGTTCCGGTGCGCCAGCCAGCTGGTATTCACATGTGCGGGAGCACTGGAAATTGGAAGAGCAGCTACCTGGTGCGCACATGCATGCCGGGCGGCTGGTCTTCTGTTTCCAACGCGCTGGCCACCTGGTCTTTTGGTTTTTGGTGCGCATGCGGGCGAAGACCAGGTGGCTGGTGCGAATACGTGCGCCGGAACACCAGGTGGCGAAACCGGAAGACCAGCCACCTGATGTGCACATGTGCTCTTCTGGTTTCCGGCACTCCCGCGCGTGTGAAGACCAGCTGGCCGGCATGCTGGAACCCGGAAGAGCAATGGGCGACGGCTTGCACATGTGCACACTGCCATTTCAGCACTTGGTGCTGAAAAGGTTCACCAGCACTGACTTAAGGTATTGCCACTTAATATGGTCTCTTACATGGAGAATTTACTCTTTTTTTAAAAAAAGAAACAAATTGTTCCAAGATCTTCTAACCATGCATGTCTTTTCTGAATTTAGAAACATGGTTTTCAAATGATCAACAGAGAGAAGGCCAGTTCACACGAGGGCGTGATTAAATTTTTAGCATCATTACAAAGATTAAAAATTAGATTGTTGGATGAAACAGAGACTAAGATCCCAGAAATGTAAACCCTGCTATCCCATTAAAAGAGAGACAGCTTTGCTGATCCATTCTAAAAATTCTATCAGGGCAAGTTTTTATCTCGGTCGCTGCATGGAACTGATTTCTTGGACTGAAACAAATTGTTTTATCGTAGTTGTGGGAAGCGTGCAAAACCAGTTAAGTGTTTATTGGGAATTCCACCAGCGATGCAAATTCCTCAGGCAGAATCTGTCCGGTGTTCAAGCGGGAGCGTAAATTCATGATGCCTTAATTAAATACTTGCAAACGGATCTCAGTG